TTGTGCGCTTTTATACTCCAGAAAGGACACTAAGGTCTTCGAACCAGTTGTTCCTGGAAGTGCCGAAGTCCAGACGGAAACATTGGGGAGACCGAGCTTTTTCAGTTCGGGCTCCTATACTGTGGAATGGTCTGCCATGGGAGATTAGATCAGCTCCGAACCTGTCTGTTTTTAAATCACTTCTTAAAACGCATTTGTATTCACGGGCCTTCGACAATTTTATTGATTGATGTATTTGTTTTGACTATGTATTTTTCTTGTTATTTTACTGTATAGATGTGTTTTATCTGGTCTTAGGTATCTTTATTATTATTATTATTTGTTTATGTTTTACTGGAAAGCACCTTGTAACGCAGGTTTAGAAAGGTGCTATATAAATAAACTTTGCTTGCTTGCTTGCTATGGGAAGCAGAAGTACAAACACAACCCATTACCTAGTAAAACTAAAAAAGTGCAGCATATATTAAGAACTGTACTTGCATTACACTTTTCAATTGAAAACTGAAACAATTAAAATAAAGGAACTGCTCTTGCTCATCTGGAGTCGTCTTGCTTAAAGACAATTCTCAACATGTGAACAGGACAAGCCAGGGGTCAAAGATCATCCCTACATTTATTGGCCAACCTGCTGTACTGACCTCCGACATCTGACAGTGGGGCTTAGGTCATTTAACCAAAGGTACATGGTTAACTTATATGGTTAGTGCGGTGCAGTAGCGAGGCACAAGAGGGCCCACAGAAGACAGTCACAGTTCAGTAATGGATATCACATACACATGATCAGTAGTTTTAGAATCTTCATCTCACTCGCTGCAAGTCGGGGCTGCCTATTATGGCTGATCCTTGCTACATGAAATTAATAAGAATATATTTTCCTTATTTTGATAGAGCAGATATGTTAAAAATTGCAAATAAAATGGCAAAGACAAATGTGTAGTATGGTCAGCTGTTCCGCTTTTATGCATTATGTCAGATAAAACCCCACACAAGGGTAAAAAAAACTTCATTGCATTTGTCTGTCTTCTTCAGGAAGTTGGATGTCACAGTGTCAGTGGCAGTCTGCCTGTTACTGTCCAGTCTGGCTGTCTTCTTCCTCTTGCCTCGCTTCATCGATGTGTCCTATGTTGGAGTTAAATCTGTTTTTGTCAGCTACAACCAGGAAGGGCGTAGCGTCTGTCTCAACATCACGGTAAGCTTCCACTCCACAGCCTGAAATAACCCTCCCTGTTTAGAAACATCATCTCCAGTGCTGAAGCTTTGCTGCCCTCTTGTGAGCAAAGGATTAGTAACCAGTGGTTGAAGAATACTCAGATCTATTACTTGCTACCAAATACTCCATTACAGTTAGAAGTCCCTCACTGAAAATGAAAAATGTCCTTAAAGTATGAGAAGTAGTGAAGTATCAAAAATAAAGTGACACTTTCACACTACTTGTTTTGTCTGACAAGTAGTCCGGTCCAGAGTTGGAAAGGTCGTCATTTTTGAGAAGCTGGATCCATCAAATATTTGGCATTTGTACATTAAAATTTACTTACACCAAAAAAATATATTAACGCCATTCTTCGCCATTCTTTTCATTAAATTCTCAGTTCAGATGCACATGTATATATTGCTGTGTAGTTTATAACAGTGTCACATTTTCTGAGCTCTGTGTTTTAAATACAAAAGTAAAAGTTTTTGAGTAATTAGTATTTCTAGTTGGCATGTAACTGTCATGTGGAATAAAAGTACAGTACTTCACTCTGAATTATTTATTTATTTATTTATTTATTTATTTATTTCAAGGGAGTAGAAAGAAGTAATACTTATCTAGTTCTACCCCTAGTGATCCAAACTATGGTTGACACAACCCAAATATTTAACTAAACAACTACACTGGTTAAGTTCCCGCAACCACCAAATTACTACATTCCTTCTAATCACAAATCACAATTACATAATTAACAAACAAATGATAAACAATAAATTATTCATATCCCACCCATAAATACACCGATAATATCTTAATAAGATCATTACACTTCCTGTATCCAATACCCAGCTATGCAGGCCTTTTTATATTTATTCTTAAATTGTTTTACACTTGTACATTGTTTTAAATCATCACCCAATCTATTCCATAATTTTACACCACTCACAGATATACAAAAACTTTTCCTAGTTGTACGTATGGCCTGAGTTTTTAAATTTAAGTGGCCCCTCAATCCATAACCACCCTCTCGATCACCAAACAGACCCCGAATACCACTTGGCACCAAATTATATCTGACTTTATACATAAATACAGCAGATTTGTATTTTACTAAAAAATTTTAAAAATCCTGAATGTGCAAATGATGAATTCGTATGATCCCTATAACCAAGTCCATGAACAATTCTAATGGCCCTTTTCTGTAGTTTAAATAATGAGCATAATGCGCTTTTGTATGTATTTCCCCAACACTCAACACAGTAGTCCAAATAAGGTACAAACATAGAACAGTAAAGAGTATGGAGTGACTTCCGATCCACAATATTTGTAACTCTTGCCAATATAGTGGAGTCATACAGATGCTACTATATTACATTGCATTTTACTGTTTTAGTAACCTCAGAAAGAAGCTTGTCTGTAGGTGCTGATTGTAGGTACAATGAAATGTGTACTGTGAGCCCAGTCAGTTCGCTGATGATCCTTAAATAGACAATTGGTTTTAATAGCTACAGTAAGGGCTCAATAAGGCTAGGCAGTTAATGGAAAGATTACAAAATGTACCTGTAAATACAATAACAAATGAGTCACTGACATCCTGTGTGAGTTAATTCTTAATAGAACTAAACAATTTAAAATGTACAGCGGGCTCCATAATGTTCAGAACAAAGATCAGCCATTTATCCATTTGCTTCTGTACTTCATAATTTCAGATTTGTTTTTTTTAAAATTGCCTGTGGTTTATTAAAGGGTCTTTTTATACCTTTTGGCTTTTCCAAGTAGAAATCACAGCAGTGTTTATGCATAGTCCCCCATTCAGGGCACTATAATGTTTTGTGGGGCAGCAGTGTTGTGTAAATGAAAGTAATAATCTTTAGTACTTTCTTGCATATCGTTTACATGCAGTGACTGTGTGAAGTGCATGATTCATAGACATTACCAGATGGTGGCTCTCTTCTCTTGGGATGCCCTGCAACCCTCGTCAGCATAAGTGGTATAGATAATGGATGGATGGACCTTTTCATTCTGATTTGTCAGTCTCATAATGGCGTCTGTGACTTTATGTGGCAAAACTTTGGTCCTCGTGTTCATAAACAGCAGCAACCGTTCCTGAGAGTGATGGCAAAACTAGAGGAAAGGCTAGTTGCTGAGTGCTGTCCTATTCAGCACTTCTTATACAACACTGCTGTAATTTCTATGAATTAGTGCACATTCTCAGATTTTATTAAAGATTATTTTTATACATTCTGGTTTTAACATAGAAGTTACTATGTCTGCCTTATGCCAGTTAAAATATGGGGTTTTTCGATTACCCGCTTTGTTTACAGTGTTACACATCTTTTTATCGGGACATATACCGCTGTTTACCTGTCTATGGAGGAGAAATTCAAATTAATTAATGCCGTCACGCTTCCTTGCGCTCTCCACTTTTGACAACACTGGCAACAGGAGGTGTGCACGTTCACCAACTATCCTCTCTTTTTTAGGAGGAGGTTTCTCTGGTTTAATCGTTCTGAAATAATTACAGATTATTTGGAGTTATGAGGGGTGCAAATCTAATCTAGGGGTAGGATGGCTGGAAGTGAGCATGCCATGGGCACTTTATATATTCCATCACTTGGTCCTGGTTCCACTTTATAGTGTTCAGTGCAACTATAGATGTTTGCCCGTCTCCATAGACAAATTGATGGGGACGTGGGTGTCTGGGTTTCAGTGCATTTTTGAATATGTGAAGGGATTCAACCTGAGATGTGGTTTGTCCTTACTCCTCTAATGCTGTCTGTCCTTGCAGAACACTCTAAACATCACCAACAACAACTACTACTCAGTGGAAGTGGCCAACATCACAGCCCAAGTGCTGTTTGCCAGGATTGTAATCGGTAAATCTTGCATCAGTAACATCACTGCCATCAGTCCTCTGGACATGAAACAGGTATAGCTCATTGTCTGTTCACCAGTTAACCATGTCTCTGTGTGGGTGCAGCCCTGACTCTTTATTGTCCTCTTCTGTTTCCAGATGGATTATATGGTTTCCACCATCATCGCAGATGAGCTGAGCTACATATAGTAAGTGCTGTGTATAGTGAAGCAAAGCATGGAAGGCTGTTTACACACAAGCATCGATCCAGTTATACACATCTGTCAAAGATTTTCAAAGGTTAACCTGCTTACATGAACATCTTCACCAAAAATGATTAGAGAATCTGAGTTAGATGTGTTAATGTTACTTAACAGAAAACCGAGGAGATTCTTTTTGAGGCTTTCTATTGATTATTTATTACCTCCGCCAAGGGCGAGGGTTATGCTTTTGCCGCGGCGTCTGTTGGTTTGTTTGCTAACAGTAACTCAAAGTTGATGACATTTCTTTGGAGAGGTATGATATGTCCCATGGAACAGTTGATTAGATTTTGGTGCTGATCCTTTGCATAATTTGGATACAGGATTTTTCTAAAAGAATATTCACCATTGTGAGTGCTGTTTCCACTGTTAGATCCCAGTGAGCGATACACCCCTTGTTTCTCTGAGCTATCACCTGGCATAACCTCACGAGTTGACGTGGACTGCCCTGCTTTGCTTTGCTTTGCTTTTCAACTGTATTTTTCCTTGTCTTTTTAGAGGAGACACACCCACAACTGGGCAGATTGAAAGCACTTAGGCATGCAGGGAGACCGGGAGTTGAACCACCAACTTGCTGGTCAGAAGACGACTTGCCCTACCTCGTGAGCCACAGCCACCCCACCCTTGGCTTGTGCTGCCTGGCAAAGTACTGCTCTCCGTTTCCATCAGTCATCTCTGCATCTGTCAAGTTAGAAACAAGATTTGGTTTGTAAAGTTTACAGCCCTGACATGCTGTTGCTTAGTGCTACGTGCACTGCTCTGTGTACAAAAATGCGATAATTTGACTAAGAAAATGCAGAGGCATCAAGTCATCAACTTTTACAGGGCAGCCCTATTGTTAATGATATGGCATGGCAGACCCTTGCATTGAATATGACAGTATGACGTGTGTTGTTCTAAATCTACTTTGAAAGACCCACCCAGAGGTCAGTGGAGCTTACAGGTTAAGTTCAGCATGCTTGAAAACGTCGCCAGTAAATGTCTAATTGGTTCACATGGCACCAATTACTAACACTTGTTTTATTTTCTAGTGACTACTGCACTCTGCAAACCATCAAGGTTCACACCATTGTCATCATGATGCAGTAAGTTGTGTTGACCCTGTCATTTATTTTAATCTTAATCTAAACATTTCAGTTTACTGTGTGTGGTGTGTAGTGTTGTCCACTCACCATGTTCCTCTCCGCACTTTGTAGACTGACCGTCACCACCGTGTACTTCGGCCATGCAGAGCAGGTGTCTCAGGAGATGTACCAGTATGTGGATTGTGGAGGGAACACCACCTCTATCAGAGGGATAACCAAACCATTCACCATTCCACATCCCATTGAATAACCCCTTTAACTGTCCTCGGTATTGGTCCAGACACAGGCCCTGTGCTGCTATCATGATGCCATGGTATTTACTTCTATACAAACACTAAAAGAAATCCACACAGTAGAAAATGTACCTAGGAAAGTTTCCAAAGCAGTAGTCTTGATGTGGTGTCTGGAAGCACATTGCATTTGGCAAAAACAAATTTAAAAAGCAGACTTTAGCTTGTGATTATGAATTTTCATTTATTTTTGATGTGCTTGACCTGTATTTATTTCACAGAAGAGGCCCACAACACATAATTAGCAGTGATTAGAGAAACTGGTCTCTTGATTAGGAGTTCTAAATCTTATCCAAAGAAAAATTTCAGAACTACAAAATCATTTTTTTTTTTTTTTTAGAATTAGAGTAGAGCTGTCTCCTAATTAAGTGAGCCATATTTCAAATACAAAAAAGCTATAGCATAATTAAAAGATGTTTTTCACAATTACAAGAAAAATTTTATAATTGTAATAACTTGTAGTTACAAGAAAACAAATTTTTAAATAATGTCCATGTAAATACAAAGTATTTCAATAAATACAAGACCCATTACTGGTAATTGCTAGAACAATATTAGTTACTATACCTATGTTGTTTAAGTAAAGAAAGACAATTTCATGGAAACCACATCTGCATTAAAGCAAGAAAGCCACTTAGCTATGCATGAACATGATCTGTATCTCAGAATTCTACCACTGAATTGTCTGCTTTTGTTAAGATAAATAATGTTTTTGTGTTGCTTAGTTATAGTCTGTGGGTTATCCCATGGCCCCTGCTTAAATATTACATTTTCCAACACTAAGTTTATTATTTGAGATAAATGTTTTCCTACCTCACACTATTAAAGTGTCAGTTATTACATTTATCATTGGATTCATTCATTTTGAACAGGATTTAAAGTTACACCCATTCATGACAACGCTGTTGTTAATAGATTAAGTTTAAACTATGATGTATGAAATATGATTTGCAGTTTTAAGTAGCAGGAAAGAACAAAAAGGGGGTTTGTTGAATAAATAAACTTTATTATTTTATTACCTTGCAAACCACAGTGCACTTTACAACTATATTTAACATGCACATTTCATTAATAGTCCCAGGTTCTCTAAAGCCTGCTCCTCCACCACTGTGTGTTAGACTCTGTAAAGATGGATCATCAAAGCATAGTTCTAAACTAAACGGCATGATGTCTTGCTTTTTGAGATCTTTTAGCCTGCTTCACTTTGTCAGACAGGTTCTATTTGAGTGATTTCTTGATTGAACAGGTCTGGCAGTAATGTGTAGCTAGTGAAACTGAACTCAGCTTTCCAAAAAATGTGATTCACCACAGTAAATTCATGATTTAACAATGGGTCACAATTTATTTTACACATAGGGCCATGTAGGTTTATTAGGTTATTCCCTGTGTCATTCCATTTTACTACACATAGCTTAATTTCTGGGCATATTTGTTTTGTTTTCTTTGTATGTATGGATTACTGGGGTTGTTGCAGACATCTGGTGAAAATGTCAACACCACCTTTAGAAATATATTTACTGAGAAAAATGGTGACGTGTTCAGTACTTATTTTACCCGCTGTCTTTACCTTTTTTAAGAAAAGCATTTCATGTTAATTCAGTTTGATAACCAGAAAAATGTCATGTATTCATTTATTTTTAAAAAAAAGCTGCTTTGGGTCCAGAGTCTGCTTCTTTAGCCTGGCTGGATATACTGTAGTGTGTCCAGCTCAGGCCCCAGCTGGCCCATCAGGAAGGGCGGGGCATTGCGGCCAACCAACAACTCTCAGTTTAAATGACTATCAGTTATGCCTCCCAGGCTGAGCCACCACCCTCCATCACCCTGGGGCTGCGATTGGTTCACAGGAAATTGACCTGCCAGCAGCCAGTGAAAGTCCCTACATCAGTGTCCATTCACTTATAATAATGAAGCTGAATAACTAATGAGCTCTGCACGGTCTGCGGTGTCTTCCTCGCTCTATTCTCAGAGTAGCTTTGAACATGACCAGTAACCTTTGTGGGGCCGTGTTGGACCAGGAAATTGATAGATTAGCAATGCTTTAATAAAAGCACTACAGAATTGAGCTTTATTACCAAAGAGGATATATAGCAGTCCGATACAGAATAAGACGCGCCTCCATCTGGATTCTTCTTTAATCGATTTGTTTTTTGGGGATCCTAAGGATAAGAAGATTTGACATCAAAGAGGCTGGCGTGAAGAGAGCCAAAATGAAACCAAGAATCATTCTCACTTGCCTGTCAACGTTTTACTATTTGAGTAAGTACCATTTGGCTTCTAAATTCAGTAATGTTCACCTGTTGATCAGTGAAGGATGACAACTGGGGGAACTCTGCCAAGTCCAGAGAGCAGAGGATGATGTTGCAGCTACTGCTTTGACTTTCAATCAACAGTAACTCGGATCTTTACCCAAGTTTTTAAATCATCACCATAACAGCATCCTTGTTGAAGATCCACTTATTTCCCATAAAGCCCGTCAGTACATTAAATCAGATCTGTGTCCTGTTCCATCAGTATTGGTGTAGCATCACTGGATTTTAAGGTGCTTCACTTGTTGTCAGTTAGAGAATCGGGCTGCTGCTCTGTTCTTATTTATTAATCCAGGTTTTACCAGCAAGGACTAAATGATCACTCCCACTCTGTCCAAATAACTGGAGACTCCTATCTACAGTCATTCTAGTCTATCTACATGAATGAATTGATTTCCACTGCTGCACAAATATGCACAATATCCTGGCTGGATATAAACTGGAACCTAAGTAAACTACATGTACAGTTTAACAAAACCTTTGATCAGAGCATCCCCCTGGTTTTTCCTAAGCTTTCAGCCACATTTTGTGCTTTCCTGAAGGTAATGTCTGATAAGAACTGATCATCAAACTACTATAGTCATGTTACAAAATGACAACTGTACGATGTTGTACCGTGTACACTGCAAACATACTTCACAGTTCATTCAGATGTTACATTGAAAACACTGAATATTTTATTCTTGAAAACATGAAAATTCACAGGTCAGTGTGTTTTCCTCCACCAAAACAGTACAAGTAGAAGGCTGCTGAACTCAAATTCTACTCAGTCCCTTTTTGGTGGTACTGAGGAAGACTGTAAAGTGCAGAACTCCAGAAAAATCTACTAATCTGACCTTAGATTCAATTTGTATTTAACTTTATGTACTTATTAGGGTGTCTTTCGTTTTTCATTTTTATGTTGTATTTTAAGGGGTTTAAATGTATTTATATTCATAAATTCACATATTAAGAAACCTTTTTTCTAAGACTACGTTCACACTGCAGGTCTTAATGCTCAGATCGGATTTTTTGCCGAAATCCGATTTTTTTTGCGCTGTTGTTCACACTGTCATTTAAATGCGACTGCCATCTGTCTCATGTGTGAACAGTATACGGCCCTGAGGTGACCGCATGCGCAGAAGAGGACGTGACGTCAGACGCAGCGTACTGTGTTTGCGAAAATAAAAATGGATGCGGCTCGTGATAGCATGTGCGTAGCAATGTACCAGTTAATGTGCAATCGAAATAAAGAAATATTACACAAATATTGCTTATGGCCTCGCCTCCTCCAGCGCAGAATTGTGACATCTGTCGCGTTTCAATGACATACTGTAAAAATCGCATGAAATGCAACATGGCCGTTCAGACTGAAGTCGCATTGCAAAACATCAGATATGTATCCGATTTAGGACCACATATGAAAGTGGCCTGGGCCGGATTTGAAAAAATCGGATTTGTGCTGTTTACACTGTCATAAGGAAATTGGATATGGGTCACATTTGGGCAAAAAGATGGGATTTGAGTCACTTCAGCCTGCAGTGTGAACGTAGCCTAATAGAAATTGAAAACCTGAATTTCAAGCTTTCTTTCTTTTTTTTTTTCTGCCATGATCATCACATAATGCTAAACTCTCACAGTAGGCCATAAACTTATAGATGGCAACAAAAATGTTTTTATTTGAGACAATGCAGAACAGTTTTGTATGAGGAGGGGAGCAGTGCAGACAGTGTAGAGGGCTCTGTGCTTAGCTCATACCACAGTAAGGGTTAGTCACTGACCTCTGACCTTTAGGAGGGGGTAGGGCTCTGGTTGTCCTGAGCAGTTTGTGGATGGGGAGGACCATAGACACAAAAGGCCCCCCCAAGCCCTCAGTCTTCAGTGACCTGACCCTCATTTCCATGACACTACTCCCAGTCTGCGCCCAGATTGAGACCTTATTAATGATATGTGCCTATAAGGTAATCCCCCCGACAACTGCCATGACCGTGTCCCTGACAACCACCCCCCACAGGGGCATCCTCACTCAGGCTCAGATAGAGTTGGACGGCAGAAACACCCTTTGCATTAATCCACAGTGGGGACACAAAGGGCCTGTGGTGGCTGGCATTTCCTCCGGAGTGACAGACAACAGGCTAACATCTCAATCTGTAGAGACTTTAGGCTAATGCTGACAGGATTTGTCCCATGTAAAAATACAATTATGAGGCAAATGGGACTTTTTGTTGAGGTCCTTCATCCAACACTAACCTGGCTATATTAGGCATTAAAAAGCACTGATTGCTTTGTGAACTTTAAAGCAGTTACATTTTTGAGTATTACCTGTGGATTTATAAAATCTGTAATGCTTTATATTTCTACCCAAGTAGGACCTTAGAATTTTGATATTACAGCTATAGCTTCAGTGCCACTGAGCCGTTGACAGTAGAAATAGCTGAACAGCTTCTGATGACTCACTGCCAGGACAAGATGCTATTCATCAGCTTCACCAGTAGTCTTACTGTAGTATGGCCATTACTAGTACATGTCCAGCTGGTTTTAGTGCTGGTTAGAAAGCATGATCTAGCTTTCTAACCATCTTTACCAGCATGATGCCACTTTGACCATGATCATTATACAAAGTTTGACCAGAACCTAGACCACAAAAGACCAGCATCCTTCATGAGATGGACAGCCAAAACCCTAACACTGAGAGGAACACTGTAGTTTTACTAGGAACTTCGGTTCATCCTAGCCATTAAAATATCCATTCCTTCAAACCCTCCAAAACCTTGGAAGATAGCCACCTGATATTTTTAACACAGACTGCTCATACTATTTTCAGATAAACTTTGACACATTTTTGCACAGAATGAGGACTGTGGACTTTGACGCCCATCTCTTACACTGGAAGTAGATTATGGAAGGGATCTTTTACTGGCCTGTATAAACAAAGGAGTTAGTTAGTTAGTTAGCTAGTTAGGCAGTGCTGATATGGACATTGTTGATATTGTTGTGAGGCCAGCTTGAAAAATCACTGAACCTGTTCTTTAATGGTCTAGTGTATCCGGTGCAAGGATACACGCATACAAACACAAGCACATATGTAAAGTGTCCATGAGCAGTTCAGTCTCACTGTTGGAGTCATGGCTGCCAAACTTTTTTCTTTCATAATCTCCTATACAGTACTGTAAGTATGTTTATCAAAAGCTCAGTGTCTTCAAATAATACAGGTGGTCTTCTTGGAATAAACATAAGAGGAACAGTTAGCAGCTGCAGCAGTCACCACCATGACTGAGTAGACAAATAAACACCGGCTGACAAACTCTATTAGCAGAAAATCCAAGGATTAAAAACAGCACTGCCTTGACCAACCCAGCAATCACCACAACCAAAAACCACAAACTAACAATAAACAAGATGTCAACAGTAGGCTCTGGGCACCAAACAAGAAAGAAAGACATCCCATAAATGATCAATAAGCACTATAGGCTAAGGCAAAATAATCACTCAACAAATCCAATTTACTAATATTTCATATAACTTTAACATACTGTATCCCAAATGCACATGTGCAAAGAGGATGGATACTGAATCTAAGAGGTGTTTAACCATTACCGGAGAAGCAAATAGCATTAGACTGAACTTGAAATTCAGTGGTCCATTATAATTTGGATCAATGGTATAGGAGCCTGGAACTGACTAACTCACCTTTACTGTGGTATTATTTATTTTCCCTTTAGATTACATTTATCAAGTAGTGCTTTGGCCGATCTCTTGCACAGCGATGACCCCCTGACCTGACAACATCACCTGCATGTCTTGTTAGCTTATGCATTGTGATGTCTATCATGACAGGGTTTTTGATTTCAATAAGATTTCTGTAATACAAGCTGCTGCACCCACTCTGAGCTCACACCTCACTGATTAAAATTGCAACAAGGCCTTTTCTCCATTACATTTTTGATTATTGCTTATTGATCCACACGGCAGATGGGGACGCAGTTTTTGGTCAGGAAACTGAAATATTTTGCTACAGATCAAGCCTGATCCCACACTGACCTCAGTGCCACTGTGCTGTTATTAGAAATCAAACTGTCCTTTTCACATCATGTTAAGATAGTTTGTAGGTTTTACATATTTACAAAATGAAATTAGGCTGGTAGATTCATGATCTCATTTGTTTGATTACTGTATTATGGCTTTTTTCGTATCAGTAAATCAGGTATTGCACTGCCACCAGTTTCACAAAACATCCAACCCTTATGTTCTAAGACCAGTTGTGACCACACTGAGCTTCATTTACTTGTAGAATAAATAAATAACTTAACAATTCAAACCATCTGCTGTAATGATATGTCTCCAGATATGAGCAGTGAATCCATAGCAACTGGAGCTTCGCCCCTAACCGTTAGAGCTCTGATCTCATTCTCAATATTAGTTCTAGCAAACAGTTCATCAGAAATATTTCTTTGTTTTATTCTAGTTGTTATTCCATCCAGCCTTCCAAAGTTGCTATTCAGAGAGCAATGTCTAAAGGTGGAGAGAGGGTACAGAAAAAGACTGATGAAAGGATTTATATGTGGTGATCAGGACCGCCTTCTTTGTCTGTGTCCTTTTTGATGGGGGACCAAAAATCTGTGAAGTTCAGGGTCAGCTGTTCTGCTAAACAGTAGCAGTGGGGGGCTAGGAGAGTATCTCAGGCTGGATGCCCCCACCCTCATCCACACATCCAGCCTTCTCACCTCTGACTCTTCCGTGACCCTTGAGGGGTTCGGGGTTACAAACACAGGATGCTAGAGTGGGGGTTGCTGGACAGTCCCCTCCCTTCAAAAAACAAATCTCATTATACTGCTGCCTTTATATTGAAGACAATCCGGTCTCTAATGCTGTGCACTTAATCACACTCCATGCAGGTTTGGCTTGTTGGAACTTGCATACAGTACATTTAGCCCCTCCATTGTGGAGCTGCCTTAAAGGGTGATTCTAACATCATTTACTCTTGAAACCCTGTTATCACCAAACATCTGTCTTGATAGAGAGAGCCTCACTGGATATGAGGCTTCAGTTTGGAAACAAAACAAGGGATTAGAGCCATATTTATGCCAATGTGTCAAAGCATAAATCTCTGATTAGTTCAAAACTGATAGTTACAGCTTATTTGGTGTACCTGTTCAATCTAATGCAATCTTATGCGTCAGTCCTTCAATGAACCCTACTTCTATGAAGATCATCCTACTCAAGGGTTTTCTGAAGCTGTACTTTGATGTGCTGTTGTCGCATACAGCATCGTAATGAAATACTATGCTCCTATTTTGTCCACTGACTGAAAATCAAAAAGAATCTAATTAACTCTGATAGTGTCAACAAAAATGTGCATGAACAGAAACACTGAAATGACTGCCGGACTTTTGACCTGGAGTACATGAGATTGTTGGTGTCCCTAATGCACCCAGAACAAGCCACAGCTTCCTAGCCATTAGAAGGCAGTTATGTTGAAGCATATGATGATTGAGGGACTTGCCAATAAAAAGCCTTTTGACCAACAAGCATTTAGAATTTGACTTCAGCTGAATATTGCAGCAATGCATTCCTTACAAAAACTGCATTAACTTAAGTTACTTGAAGTTATGTTACCTTAAAATCATGACTTTATCCTCACACTGTTTATGCCCCCTTTAAGCTCTCTTAAGTTACCTTCCTTTACTTCCTGTTGTCTGATGTGCCTTATAC